GTATGGATGGAACTTTCATTTATGAGTGGGATGAGCGACACCGATAATTTATACTCTGAACAATCAACTGAATAACGCAATCGAATGAAATCAAAACAACGACAATCCAAAAAAATACTTGTGTTGAACATCACTGAATGATATTTTCGATGTTGACGGCGATGCTGACGAAAGCGATGACGACGATGGCAGGCCACGCGCAAGTTTACGTTGTAAATGCTCTGCTGAAACTGACTTGTCTTTATTCACGAACGATTTTTTAAATTAAAAATATGCAGTAAAAATATACTATCTTTTCAAATTCGGAAAGAAACACAACAGATCCGACATCTTAAATAAGGAACATTTTTTAAAAATCAAAAAAGAAACTATGACAGATATGGCAAATGTTGGATGAGTATATAAGGTCGAGGAATAAGTGATAAGGATTTATTTGTTTGCGATAACAATCGAAAATTTCAACTTTTCAGAAATGAACGAAAAGAATGAAAAATAATAAACATCTGAAATTGATAAAAGAAGTCTCAATCACAATGAAACAAACAACCGATAAAATAACAAACCAAAAGTTTCCTCATGTAAAGCCGCATTCGCCAACCTTCGACTGCGTCTTAGCGATGGCTGCGACGGTGACTGTGTTTGTAATTGTGGCGGTTTTCTCAGTTCACTTTCAGTCTGATTTTTCTGCTCCTTCTCCTTGACCACCTTCTTATTCCGTTTCTTTTCATCAGCTAAATCAATGCAGAATGAAATTCTTTTCTGTTTCTTCATCAAAATATCCCTTATCTCTGCGACAATAATAATTATAATAAAGATGATAACAGATTATTCCAGAGAAGCTAATTATAAGAAGAAACTGATTATTATGAAAGTGCGTTTCGTATTTTCAAAGTAAGAATTAGCGACAACAAAAATGAATCAGTTATCGTAAAGAAGCAAATGAACACATACGTGNCGATCGTTCATCTGCATCTCTTCATCGCTGTCATCAGAGAGTTTCTTTGATTCTTCAATCATTTTCGAGTTCGATGGCATCACCATGTCGACCATCTTTTTGTTGCCATCGCCCTCTTGCTGTGTCTTTTTAGCGCTCGAATCGAATCCCGTCTTTGAATTTTCTGCTGACATTATATTCTCGAGAACCTCGACCAATTCATCTGCAAGATTCACAATCGATAGCATAACTAAGCAATATCTCCTAATGCAATCAATGCTGCAAATATATAATCATTCGTTTATCAGTGCAGCGCATTTGGCCCACTAATCACTGAAAATCAGAAAATCATTCTTTCAAATAATACGATCGAACCATATATAACAAATAACCAAAAAAAATCTTCACAGAAAACAGATGGAAGCAATAAACGAATCGAATATCAACCTAAAACAATGAACAAAAAATTAAATAGAAGAGTATGATAACTGAAAACAATGCGACGAACACATCAATGAATGCACAAACGAACCATCTTCACTATCGTCAACATTCGATATGCTGAATGCGTTCGGTTCCTTCAATTTGCCTTTACGCATCAAAGCTTCTCGCAGATTAAAATCAGTCGTATAGCGCATCAAGCGTCTTCTTTGCGACGCATTCAACAATGAATTCTTCTCACTTATATCACCTAAAATTGCTTTTTTCATTACTTACTTATCAATATTATCAGTCGAAATCATTCCATATGTTCTCGAAAGAATGAATATTTCTTATATGATGTCTAATGTACACCGAGAACAGCTTCACAAACTCGAACAATAATGAATTAACTCAATCAAAACGGTGAACAATACCCAATTCGAGGACGAGTTTGAGTAACGGTGGGCAATGTTGCGTATAGAGCGATATATTCGCATTATTAATCGATGACGCATCTCTCAATTTCTGCATTTCACTTTCAACTTTCTTCAGTTGCACTTCGTAACTCTTAAATTGATTTCAATCAAACAGAACGAAACAGCTGTAATCAAATAATCACCACATTCATTCTCCATTTTAGGATAAAGTCTTGTTTCACTTTCACAAACAATGAAGTCAACTAAAAAAA